TCTTGAAACGCCTCGTCGTTAACGAAACGGCTCGGCATTAACTCTCTCTTGAAACGCCTCGTCGTTAACAAAACGGCTCGGCACAAACTCTCTCTTGAAACACCTCGTCGTTAACAAAACGGCTCGGCATTAACTCTTTCTCTCAAAATGCCTCGTCGTTAACGAAACGGCTCGGCACGGACTTTCTCTCAAAACGCCTCGTCGTTAACAAAACAGCTCGGCACGAACTTTCTCTCGAAACTCCTTGCCATTTATTCGGCTTGGCATAACCTTCTCAAATCGCCTAGCCTCGGCTCATCTTTACTAAACGAAATCGCCTCGGCTCATGATTACTAAACAAAATCGCCTCATCCTTAACTTGCCTGGGCATCTTCGGTACTTTTTCGAAACACCTCGGCACCCTCGGCACTCCTTGGGAACGCCTCGGCGTCTTCATTCCCAAAACACCTCATCTGGGCTTACGTCATAATAGTTGACTCGATGATTTATCCTACGGTCAGGAGTAACGGACCTCGTCACTCTCGCCTCCGAAACTGACGAGCTGGGGGGCTAACTGTTGGGGTCGGTTTTCACCCCAAGCAGATAAAACCATCTAAAAATGACTAAGTATGGAAGAAAGACAAGTGGGAGAGCCGTTCTCACCAAGACCAGTGGGAGAGCCGTTCTCACCAAGACAAGTGGGAGAGCCGTTCTCACCAAGACAAGTGGGAGAGCCGCGATCACCAAGTGGGAGAGCCGTGAAGATAGACCAGTAGGGAGAGCCGCGAAGAAAGATAGATGGGCCGAGCCGAATCATAAGAAATGGGCCAAGCCCCTCTCCAACATGCCTGGGCCGAGCCGCGCCTCGGTGAGGTGGACCGGATCATGTCTCGACTAAAATGGCAAGTGGGCCGAGCCGTGGAGAAGTTAGATGGGCCGAGCCGTGGAAAAGTTCAGATGGGCTGAACTAAGGCCTTGAGAGACGGAGCCCATAAAAACCCTAGGCGAAATACAAAGTCGGTGAGCCGCACGAGGCGATAAGGAAATATTCCGAAAATCTCTCCCGAGACTCTCGGCTAGGCGGTTCGGAGAATTAGTATAAATAGATGATGTATACCATTCATTCTGTAACTTTTGCAACCCTAAGCAATAAGAGCTAAACACTTTTACAGCAAGAAAAACTTTCTTTCGATCTTACTGTTTTTGACGATAAACCCTAGAAGTTTCCGATCCCTTAGTTTTCCTTAAACAAATTTCTGATTGTGCGAGTTTTGGCTCACACAACCTAGTGAAGGTTAAGCATGAGATGCTTACATCTGATTGTCAGGACTATCACCAGGGCCAAGATGGACCAAATTGGATTTGCTTACAAGTTCTGCACCAGTGCCACCGAGTACAGGGTCCTTCAACCATCGGATTCAATGCCCCGTCTCCGAGATGGTTCAGACCCAGGATGGAAACCAGAGACTAGCGACTTCCTACCATCTTTGCCACTCTTCCCTATGACCATGAAGCAATTTCTGGCTGCAAAATCCAAGAGAGAGGTAGCTGCAAACAGCAGGAGACTTCAGCCTGCACCACCTTCATCCCGAGCCAGTTCTTCTCAGATTAGAACATCCTCTGGGAATGATGCATCTTTGAAACTTTGAAAATGAAGCTTGATCAGCAAGAGAAGATCAACAGTCGCATGAAGAAGTTACTGAAGAAGAACCACATGTATGACGATGATTCCTCTACCACAGAGATAGACAGCAGCCATGAGACATATGCGTCCATCCATCACCTCATCATACCCACGGTTCTACATCATTTTCTTTTCTTTTCTTTAGATTATTTAGTTTTTATTTACCATCTTCTCACCAACTTTTTCACACTGGAGACAGTGTGATTTAAGTCTGGGGGAGGATGTTCATCCGTTACTAACGAAAGTTTGTTTGTTTTGAGATTTTATTTCATAAAAGGTCTTTCGTAAAAGGTTTTCAAAGGTTTTCAAAAACATGAACACTGATTTCAAAAACAGGAACACCAAAAAAAAAAACTATGATGAATAGGACCCATGTGCTTCTAGACTTAACATGCTAGTTTCTTTTGTGGTTAGTACTAGATTAGGCGGTAGCTAGAGTACTTGCACTACGAACTCCCACCAGAGGATTTTTATTCATGGATATCTTTTCTGCCAGGATATACTAGCTCATTTCACTTGAACATAATCTTGACATCTAATTTTCTCATCATTGGTTTCAGCAGGCATCATGATACACATCTAGGACATCTTCACCTTATTGTTACCACTCTTTGTTGTCCTAGATGGCCAGTTCATCTTTAGCTGGTACCACACCCTTTACCCAAACCTTTATGTTCAAACCTCATGCATTCTCTCTTTAGATTATATCTACAAATATGTGAAAAAACGCCATAGAGGGAGGAACAACATGGTTTTCAGTCACTCAAGAGAAGGACTGAAGAAATTTGGGAAAGAGGAGTATCACCAATCCTATCAAGCTTAATGGTGCCTCAAAAAGCTCATTCTTAAAGGTAAATTTCGTGCTCCTAAGCCTCTATGTCAAAAGGCGGTTTCCCTTTTCCAAAAAAAAAAAAAAAAATGAAAGGAAAGGAAACCAAAAGCCTAAAGAGTCTAGGATGCCCGAAATCATTGGAAGCAAAGGCTACAAGTATTCATCTGTGAGGATTGGTTTTAAAACCTGGACAAAAATCTAAGTCTGGGGGAGTCATGAGGAGAACCTGAAGAAAGGAGATTCAGAATCTTACAGCAAGAAGAATGTGACTGGAAACTGTGGATATCAACAGCTCCATCCTCTCTTGCTGTTTTGTATAATGTCTAGTCTCTCTAGAAAAAGGTAACCCTAAATACTAAGAACCTCAACCCTAAAAGAGCCATTTTGAATACCTAGCCTTGATTGCCTTACTAAATCCCTTTGATGAGAACCACTTGAACTTTTGAATAAATGTTAAGAGGTAGTTAACTGGAAGATAGGTTTAAGTGTCTAGACTTTCACATGACGGATCAACAGACTAGTTATGCCTGTATTTTGGTGAAAATTTTCTAGACTATACCTGATCTGAGCATAATGACTAATTTTGGTTTAGAATCATGGTCTCTGAGATTTTGTTAGTTCCAGAGATTTTCAAACCTCTTTTCCGGGTTCAGATCTTTGGTTTTGATTGACGACAAACAAAGGTTTAAGTCTGGGGGAGTTGATAACACCTGATTTTGACCATTTTTATGGATCACTTTCAGTATCTTATGCAGGTGTTTTCAATCAGTTTTGAAGGTTTTATAAGTGTTTCCATGTTGTGGAGTTTTAAAAGACTTTTCAGGTTTCTTAGGCAAAAGCACTGCAAATTGGAGAAAAATCCACTTTTGGCCAATTTCAAACTGTCAGAAGTTTCACATCTGATGAAGATCTTCTCACCGTCTGATCAAGCTCAAATTTGGACACACGATAGAGGATACAACCAGATTTCTAATGCAATTAGATTGGACGCAATCCAAAGGTTGGATCATAAGTTATTTCCAATGTACTGAAGACATGTTCTGCAGTCTCGCGAATGAAGCAAGAGGAAGAATGAAGTTTGGGCTTCATAGACCAACCACCGCGGTCCAGGAGCTCATGACAGCAGTGAAAAACATCCTGGTCACGCCTCAGAGCCTTCACACACGGTGGGCCACCTTAATAGACATGGTTGACTGTCCCGCACGCCCAACTCGCACAAAACTCCTCCTTAAAAACTCTGGCCTCTCCTTGGTGTGCGACATAGGCTTGTCTTTGAACTGAACCGCAGGAACATGTATGTCTATAGTGCTCGTTCTTGTGCAGCCTGGTCCTGTTTTGGTCCATCTCGCAAGACTATGTCGCACTAAGCACCTTCTTGCACGTTCTGGTCTCTTTTATTTTGGTGCGACCTGACCTGATCTCGAGCTGACGCGCACTCCCAACACGGTCTAAACCGCGAGTTCTTGTACGCCTTGGGTCTTCTTCTTCCCATCACGCACAACTATCTCGCACAGAGAACATCAACTCAAGACCCATTTGCTTCTTCCTTGTGTGCGACATAAACTCCCCTTTTATCCATCTCGCAGACCCAACTCGGTCTAAAATGTGAATATACGTGCGGCTTAGGATCTCTTGGTCCAACTTGCAGGCCTGATGCGCACATAGCAGCACTTAAACGTCTTAGCTCTTTCTTCTAGTGTGCGGCTTAGGCTGCTCCTTGACCATCTCGCATGACCAGGCCAGTTCATTCAGCGAATACTGGTCTTCCCTTGTCTAACTCGTAGGCCTGAGTCGCACTGATCAAGCATTGAACGCCTTGCCCTCTCCTTCTTGGGGTGCGGCCTGGGATGATACTGAGACGACTCGCAGAACCAGGTAGGTACGTTCTGCGAGTACATGTGCAGCTTGGTCTCACATTGATCCATCTCGCAGACCCAACTCGCACCTCATCAACACTTAACATTTTTCTTGCTCAAACCCCTTGCTGCTAGATGAATGACCCGCACACCCAAGTAGGTCTCTTTTGCGAGTTCATGTGCGAGTTGGTACCTGGCCTAACCATGTCTCACACCCAAGTAGCACACCAGGCGTCTCTCAAGTTTTTATGCCTTAAGTCCATTCTCAGTTTTTTCACAAGCTCCATTCCACTTTGCCCTTGAACCATAGCTTCCAAAAGTCACCTGGGACCTGAGGACACTTCAGAAAACCCATCAAAACATCCTAAAACATAAAAAGAAAGAAAGAAATGATTAAAAAGAAGAGTGTACAAGGATAAGCTTCGGGCGTCTCCCAAGAGCACTTCGTTCAATGTCACTAAGTTTGACCTTGAAAACCTGTTTAACAGGTTCGGGGATCATCAAGAGGAACTGTAGAAGCCTCATCTCTCTTCTCTGAAACCGGGTAATGCTTAACTCTTTGTCCATTCACCACAAAGCCCTTGCCATCCTTACCCTCCAGGACCAATGCTCCAAAGTTTTTAACCTCTAGAACTCTGAATGGTCCTGACTATCTTGATCTTAACTTGCCATGGAAGAGCTTGAGCCTGGAGTTAAACAAGAGAACAAGGTCTCCTTCCTTGAACTCTCTTTTAAGAATCTTCTGATCATGCAAGATCTTGGTCTTCTCTTTGTAAATCCTTGCACTCTCAAAAGCATTGAGTCTTATCTCGTCCAGCTCATGTATCTGAAGAAGCCTCTTCTCTTGGGCTGTCTTAATGTCAAAGTTCAACATCTTAACAGCCCAAAGAGCCTTGTACTCAAGCTCCACTGGTAAGTGGCAGCTCTTTCCATAGGGAAGGTTGAAGGGAGATGTGCCAATAGGTGTCTTGAAAGCAGTCCTATAGGCCCAAAGAGCATCATCTAACTTCTTGCTCCAATCCTTCCTTGAGTTGCCCACTGTTCTCTCCAAAATGGCCTTGATTTGTCTATTGGATACTTCCACTTGACCACTAGTCTGAAGGTGGTAAGGACTTGCTACCTTGTGCTTGACTCCATGTTTCCTCAACAGCCTTTCCAAGGTCTTGTTAATGAAGTGGCTACCTCCATCACTGATCACCACTCTTGGGATCCCAAACCTGGGAAAGATAACACTCTTGAAGAGCTTGCACACCACCTTTTGAATCATTGATTGGGCAAGCAATTGCCTCCACCCACTTGGAGACATAATCAACAGCCACCAAGATGTATTGGTTCCCCTAAGATCTGATGAATAGCCCCATGAAATCCAAGATTGGGTTTTGAGGCATCTCACTCCTCTTTGATATGTTGTCCTGCCTTTGACATGAACCACAACTATAAACCACTCCTTAGGCATCCATGAACATAGTAGGCCACCAGAAACCTGACTGCAATACCTAGGCCACCGTTTTAAAAGCTCCCAAATGTCCACCATAAACTGAACCATGACATTCTTGTAGGACTGGCTGGACTTCTTCCTCAGCTAGACATCTCCTGTATAGATGATCCTTGTTGAGCACATAGAGAAATGGCTCATCCCAAAAGTACTTCTTGATGTCTTTAAAGAATTTCTTCTTCAGATATCCATTCAGCTCTGGTGGTTCAACTCCACATGACAAGAAGTTCACAATGTCTGCAAACCATGGTAACCTATTTTCTCCTATGGTTTCAACCTCCTCAAATTTCATGTAACTCTTGAGCACCATAAGTTGTTCTTCAGGTAGAGAGTCATCAAGAAGGATCTCAGGATCCACTCTTAGTCTTGAGAGGTGATCAGCAGCTCCATTTTCAATGCCTTTCTTTTGTTGCACCTCCATGTGAAATTCTTGCAAAAGCAGAACCCATCTCAAGAGTCTCGGCTTAACATCCTTCTTTGTCATAAGATATCTCAAAACCGCATGATCTGTGTACACAACAACCTTTGAACCCACTAGATAGCTCCTGAACTTGTCAAATGCGATCACTATAGCCAGCGTCTCCTTTTCAGTTGTTGCATATTTCTCCTGAGCAGAGTCCAAGGTCATGCTTGCATAGTAAATCACATGCAGCTTCCTGTATTTCTTTTGGCCCAAAACTGCTCCCACAGCGTAATCTGAAGCATCTGTCATCACTTCAAAGGGCAATGTCCAATCTGTTGCATGGACTATTGGTGCACTAACAACGGCTTGTTTGATCTTTAAAAAGGCCTCCATGCACTCCTCATCAAATACAAACTCAACCTCCTTGCAAAGCAGCCTTGTTAGTGGCCTAGCTATCTTAGAAAAGTCTTTGATAAACCTTCTACAGAAGCCTGTGTGCCCTAGGAAGCTTCTTATCCCCTTGACTGAGTTTGGGGCCTGCAAGTTCATCATCACTTCCACCTTAGCCCTGTCCACTTCTATTCCTGCCTCAGAAACCTTATGCCCAAGGACAAATACCCTCTTGCACCTTAAAGTGGCACTTCTCCCAACTGAGAACCAAGCTGTGCTCCTCACACCTTCTTAGGACCTGAGAAAGATTAGAAAGACAAACATAGAAGAGGAGGATCCATAGATTGAAAATTCATCCCTGAATACCTCTACTTTATCTTCAATCAGATCCGAGAATATGGACATCATAAAGCGCTGGAAAGTAGCGAGAGCATTGCACGGCCAAAGGCATGCTCCTATAAGCAAAGGTCCCATAGGGACAGGTAAATGTGGTCTTTTCCTGGTCTCTTGGGTCTATTGGGATTCGGAAGAACCCAGAGTAACCATCCAGAAAACAAAAGAAGGGATGATTAGCAAGCCTTTCTAAAATTTGGTCAATAAAAGGAAGAGGGAAATAGTCTTTCCTAGAGGCTGCATTCAATTTTCTGTAATCTATACACATCCTATGACCTGTGATAGTTCTTGTTGCTATCAGTTCATCCCTTTCATTTTTAATCACTTTCATTCCTCCTTTTTTGGGCACCACATGAACTGGCAAAACCCATCTAGAGTCTGAGATAGGATAGATGATCCCAGCCTCTAGGAGTTTAAGAGTCTATTTTTCACTACTTAATTTATGTTGGGATTGAGCCTCCTTTGGTGCTCAATGGATGACATAGATTCCTCTTCAAGGTGAATCATATGAGTGCATAGGTTGGGTGAAAAACCCTTTATGTCATCCAATGAGTAACCAATTGCTCTCCTATGTTTCCTCAACTCATTTAACAATGTATGCTCTTGATCATCTAACATTCTATCATTTATGATGACAAGGTAAGACTCATTGAGACCTAAGAATGCATACCTGAGCCCCTTAGGAAGAGGTTTGAGTTCCAGTTGAGGCGCCTTAGACGCATCCCCATCTGCATTGTATGAATCCTCCTTGGCTGGCCCTTGTTTGGTATTCATCTCCTCAATAGGCTTGTTGCCTTGCTCATCCTCTATCCCCAAGGCTTTTCACTCTTGAACTGACCATTGGTTTGTGCTTGACCCACAGATTTCTTGAACATCTGAACCACTTGATCCCAGCTCCAAGAACCTTGTCTCTGAATCCACTTCTTTGTAATTATCCAAAGCCAACTTGTAGGCTTCACTCTCTTCAGCCAAGTAGCCATGATCACCATGTTATTTAGTCAGGGCTATTTGAAGGTGATCTTCAGTGTTCAGCTCCTCTAGAGCTCATCAGCTAGCTCATCCATAGTTTCCACATAGAAGCCTTGTCCTTCTATGGTGGGCTTCTTCATCATCTCTTTCACATTAAACTTGAGTCTCTCAGATCCAAGGAGAATTCATACAATGCAGATTGGGATGCGTCTTAAGCTGGTGTTCATCTCCTCAATCGATTGAAAGAGTAAATAAACTAGACTAAAGCTTTCTCAAGGGTTTAGGGAAGTTTTCTCAGGGGTATGAACGATTCAAAACATTGCTAGAGAGTAAATTTGATAAGATCTTTGCTTAAACTTTTCGAACTGGAGTCACAGACGTATGAACACGCCACTGTCGGGATGATAGACAACTATCTCTCTCAACCCCGACCAGTAGGTTTCCACTCTGGCCCTGAAAAGAAGAGATGCATTATGTTTAAGACTCGCCTCATACACAAATCGCCCATAGTAGGTTTCCACTCCTATGGTTGTTTTGCTCTCCCGTACTAGATCTGACACCGGATGAACACTTTCGTGTCACCAAGAATCTGGATCAGATTGTAGTTCATGACGCTACTCTCATGCAGTAAAAACGAATTCAGAAGAAAAAGTTCTAAGATTCAGCTCAAAAGCTCATCGAATCCTCACCGAACATATAAATACCCATCGAAAATCCCTTAACCCAACAATAAAACTACTCAGACATGATGAACCAACTCAAAAACATAGTATTAAAAAGTAGAATAGAAACCGAAATTGAAAAAGAAAGAACAAGGGTGGGTTCAAGAGACAAATCTCTCTCTCCCTAAAACCTAAAACTTAAAAATTATTCTAAAACAATAAGAGCATATGAGGTCATACGAATTAGGGTTCTTAAAACATGTATTTATAGTGCTCAAGACATCTCTAGGGTCTAGGGTTCTGAAATCAAGGCTGGGAAAATGATATGGGCTTCAGAAATGGGCCTTCGGAGTCGGAATTAGCTGGCCGCGGTCGGGATGTTCGTGACCGCGGGAAATGGGTGGCTGGCCGCGGTCGCGGTGGTTGTGACCGCGGGGAATGGTCTGTTGGCCAGAAACGCTTGCCGGCTGGTTTACGGGACATCTTGCTCTTCGCGTATCTTTTGATTGAACCGTTGGATTGCCAAGTTGTAAAGTGTGCTGGAAAGCTGGTACTTCCATATTTAAGATCTCCAAATTTGAGCTTGATCAGACGGTGAGAAGGCCTTCAATCGGGGGTGAACTTCTGACGGTTTGACTCTGAGCTGAAATCTGGTCTTCTATCCATTTTGTTAAGCTTTTCCCTAAGTTTTCTGAAAAGAGTCTTGGAACTAAAAATACTAGAAAAACGTGATAAAAGCAATTAAAAACATAGAAAAAGTATTTCAAAACGATCCATAAAGTGGTCAAAGTACGGTGTTATCAACTCCCCCAGACCTAAACCTTTGTTTGTCCTCAAACAAAGCAAAAGCCTAAACTGGTTAAGTGAAAACAAAAATAGGAAATGCACAAATCTCAGAGACATGAACTCCTAAACAAAGCATAATTCTTCCTACTTTGTTGTAAACAGCTATTCCCCCAGACTTAGATTCCTTCCGAGAGTCAAAAAATGATCGCCAAAACTCCATAAAATCGAACTACAGTTGCCCCCGGACTTAAATTTTTTTTGGCTTTTTTGTTTTATAAGCGCTTAATGGGAGGCAACCCATTTAGGTATTGTTTTCTTTAGGATTTTTCTTTCTTTTTCTTTTGATCTTTTTCTTTTTCTTAGTTTCAGGTGTTTCTTATAAAACAAAAAAGCCAAAAAAAATCAAAAAACCCAAAAAAACCAAAAAGAAGGATGGTCTCTGACTACTCGGCCCAGCAGGGACCAAGGAGGAGCAGGAACAGGCCGCGACATAAGCCCCCGCGGTCGCAGATGTTCTGACCGCGGGAAACACCTCTTCGACAGCGGCCGCGTCTTCCTGAGCGCGGCCGAGCACCGGTTTGCCGCGGTCACGTGGCTCCTGACCGCGGCAAATGGTCGTTGAGATCAAACCCGACCCCAAACCACCCACTTAACCTCATTTCACCTCACCAATCCCCACTCCACCTCATTAATCACTTCCACCACCTTCATCACCACCTATCACCTTCCCAAACCTCTTCGAATGAATCCGGTTCATCACCACCAGCATCCCGGATCCAGGTAAGTTTTTTTTGGCCTTACCAATTCGATTACCTATGCATTTTTCTCATCCAATCTCGACTTGTTTCACACTGAGGACAGTGTGATTTAAGTCTGGGGGGAATTTCATCCCTTTCTAACCACTTTTCTTTCATGAGTCTTGCATTATCTACACTTTTTGCATTTTCCTTAAAGATTTTCAAAATCGGTTTTCAAAACAAAATACGTTTTAAAAGGGAATGGTGAACATGAATCAATGATAGTTGACTGTGTGCTTTTAGACTGTTCCTAGTGACATGCTCATTCATGATTTAGGACTAGACTAGGCGGTAGCTAAGCACATTTGAAACGAAGTATCCTAGAGGAATTTGAATGATTTCGATTTAGATGAAGGAATACACTAGCTCTGT